ATCTAAATTGACTATTTCAGAACATTTGATAAGAACATTCTATAAAAGAATCTCTGAGTTTCTCAGATCATTTATCTTTTATCAAACTCTGAATCTCATATCTGCAAGATAGTCTGATCCTTAATTATTACAAAACAAACAAGACCTGACTCTGAAGATTACTCAAGATAAAAAGGGAAGGTTCTATTCCTTTTTCATATTCATCTCAGGGGGAGATTCATCATCTCAGGGGGAGTTATAATTCTTTATGTTCAATTAAATAAAATTTCTGATACTTTTTGTCATCATCAAAAAGGGGGAGATTGTTAGAACACAAATTGGTTCTTAATAATTACTCTTTGTTTTGATGATAACTGTTAGGAAATTTATATTTAAGAATTATATACTCTAAAATTTGTTTGAGAGTTTTAACTGCAGATTGAAATTATATTAACTCTCTAGAAGCAAATTTGCCTTGAATACAAGAAGTTATTCTGACTCTGAAGCGCCAGATGCACCTACAGAAGAATCTGTTTGCTCCTTACAGAAGATCCTGAGCGTAGTCTCCAGAAGGATCTGAAGCAAGAAGCTCCAGAACATTCTGAGTCAGAAGCATCTGAAGATAATCTGAAGCAACTGAAGTATAGAAGAATATTGATTGAAGAGCTTCTCAAAGCATTAGTCTACAAAAGTTTCTGAAAGTACCTACGCTGCCAAGTACTGAAGTTCTGTGTCAAAATGCTCTGATGATCAACACGCTAGAAGCACACACGCTGCAGAAGACTCTGATACAGCTAGTTCTGAATCTCATTAGAAGACTCTGATCCATTCAGACTCTGAAGAACTTGCTGAAACTGAAGAAGTATTTTCAAGAATATATCCGTTGGAACTATTCAACGTCTCTTTCCTTATTTGTGCTAGACACACTTACACAGACAAAAAAGATTTTTCTGTGCCATCTATTTCAAGGAAAGGTCAGTTGATGTGAAGACAAAAAGGCTCAGACCTTTTGGGACTCTCTTTTCAACGTTCAACTTGCATGGTTCAGCTGCCTATAAAAGGAGATCTTCACTTCATTCTTCAGTTACACACTTGCTGAAAAGAAATCATAATATTCTAAAAGCTCTCATTCTTATTCTTCATAGAATCTCATTGTACTTAAACTTAAGAGAAAAAACACTGTTGTGATAAAAGCTTTATAGAAGCATTAAAAACTCTTGTATTTAATTTACATTGATTGTAAAGGATATTCCTTAAGAGGATTCAGTTAGAATCAGTAGCTCTTGAGAAGACTAAGAACTGTTGTTCTTAGGTGATACTATTGTAATCAGTTTGATTTAATAGTGGATTAAGTCCTTGTTGAGAAAGGCAAATCACTCTGGAAGGGTGGACTGGAGTAGTTGTTAAACGAACCAGGATAAAAATAATTGTGTGATTATTTTCAAGTCTTAATTTTCCATACTTATTCAATCCCCCCCTTTCTAAGTATTATCTCACCTTCATATACTTTAGATCTTTACCTTAGTACTTTTCCCAACTTTAGCATAACACAAATACTAACAAGAGGTTTCTGTAGAGTACTACAAATACTTAGGATGCTAACACTTTTCCTAGGTATAACCAACCTCGAACCTCAGATCTCTTAGTTGTGTTGTTACATGACGCACTTAAGGTTTTATTCGATCTTTACCATTTCCTTTGGATAAATCAAAGCTCGGTGGTGAACTTCATGATTTGTGATTCAAGTTAAATCAAATAGCTTGATATCCGATTCTCACCGCGATACAAACAAAAGAGGAAGATGAAGATTGAGAAAACACGAACCCTAAATGGTTTATAATGCAACAACTGAGTGTTAACTTGAATGATTGTATACCTGACATGACACCTTAACCATCCTTAATGTTTTTCACCCAAACTAACAGAAGGGACTAAATAGTTTAACGAAAGAGAAGTTAAGGTACCATTACGTAATATTTTTAAGTTAGTGGACGAACATGAAACTTCGCTTAAAGTTAAGGGACCTAAGAATTAATTATGCCTTTAAAAAAACAATGTTTTGAACACAAATAAGTTATATTTACGAAAGATTATGATTTATATACAAATAAATTATATTTTATTTATTTTTAACGGGTTGGACTCCTAATGCACTATCCGATTTTTATTTTTTAAAAAATTAATTAAAAAAACTTGTAGATAAAACTCGACTCGTCCGCTCGCCACAATTTTTAGATGGGTTAAACGAGACATACCAACTTAAGATATCGAGTCAAAATATTTAGCTTAATTTGCAAAAATAAATTAGTCAAACGAACCAATCAGACGAACTCAAGCTATTTTGCCATCCTAGTTGCAATTGCTACCTTAAGCCTCTTTACTTTTAAATATAAATAAATAAGAAAGTTTAATTAATGATGAACTCTTTAAAATACCCCATATTAATAATTTAACAAGTCAAACTAAAAAATTTAAATTATAATTTAAATATTAAATCAGATATTAATATCTTAATTAACTCGTGATAGAAACTTATAAAAATTATAGAAGTTTTGATTTGACATTCACAGACACAACTTAAAGTGAGAGATAAAATTAAGGGTGATAGCGAATCATTCGTGTGCTTCTTAAATCGAAAAAAAAAAGTGAGGCAGACAAATCCACCAAGTAAATTTGGATTTAAAAATCTAACCCGATCCGTCAAAGTGATGGGTTGGCGGGCGGCGGACTTACCAGCCAATTTTTTTTTTTAATTTCATTTTTTAAATAGATTAAAAGTTTGTTTTTTTACATTTCAATTAGAAATCATCAAACCAACAATTAGAAAACATAAAATGTGTTGGGGAGATTTTCATTATGAAACATTGAACATTGTGAAACTTTTCCTTTGTAGAGCAACACTTTTGTGAGAGTCACACCACATACTCGCCCAAAACCTTAAGGTGATATGTGTGTGGGTTCTCCCATTTATAAATGCTTAAGTCACCACATTACTATCCAATGTGAGACTGTTATCCATACTACTCACACTTGTTATACTTAACACTCCCCGTCAAGTATGAGTGTATCCACAATGCTTCCTCGTAAATGGCAGCTTCAACTGTGCAACTGCACCTTCTGTTGTGTGTTTCTTGCTCACCACCCTTGTACTGCTGTTGACACTCTTCAACGAAACACCTCCTAACCACTACCTATGGAGAGTACTTTCGATACAAGTGAGTCGGTCCTTCACTTGAACCAGACTCTGATACCACTGTTGGGGAGATTTTCACTAGGGAGTATTGAACATTGTGGAACTTTTCCTTTCTAGAGCAATAGCTTTGTGAGAGTCACACCACATACTCACCCAAAACCTTAAGGTGATAGGTGTATGGGTTCTCCCACTTATAAATGTTCAAGTCACCATATTCCTATCTAAAGTGCGACTATTATCCACACTGCTTATACTTGTTATACTTAACAAAATGACAACTAAAAGTCTAAAATCATCTAGAGATTTCACCTAAAATAGAACCATCAACAAGAGTTCTAAAACTATTGTTCAAGTATTAACCTTCAACTAACAAAAATAAATATTTTGAGTTCTCGATAACTAGGCTAACGAGTCAACCCGCCCTTTTCTTAACGAGCTTAAAACGAGGCAGACTGAAAGAAAGACAAACACAAAATCACAACCCAATACGCTATATTTTGGCGGGTGCGCGGATCGGGCTGGCGGGTCACTATTCGTTTTGCCACCACAGATAAAATGATTGTTTTGTTTATTTATTTATTTTGTTTTAACGTTGGATGGGAGATGGTTTTACGAAAAGAATTTTGAGTCAATTTATAGGAAAAAAATATTTAAATAGACACAAACATAATAAGTAATTTTACAAACAATCAATTACAATTTTTTTATTAATTAAAAAATGAAAATAATTTTTTTCTCCTTCATTATCGTAAGCACCTCATGTTTTCAATTAAAAAATAAATTAAAATAACCCTTAAGAGTTGATTTAGTTATAGGTCTTGAGAATATACTCCTCTTGCTAACAATTCTTAAAATTTTCTCTTTTCATTTTAGATTTTTCTAAGAACATGGATTAGGGGTGGACAACGGTTGGTACTGGTCGAGTTCAGATGAAAAAACTCAATCTGAAGAAACTCACAGATGAGAATATCACACCTAATTTCGTCCATTCAGTGACATCAATTTGTTTAGTTTTGATTTTGACGGTTTGTAAAAATGTCCGGTGAGTTGATTCGGTTAAAAATCTAGTAAGAGAATAAGAAGTTTACACTTTCTAAACACTAAGAGAATAAATTTCTTAATTTTTTTACAACTTTGACCCAATAATTTTTTAAAAATGTCAAAACTTTTCTATGAAATATGTTTGCTGATTTCTGAAAATCCTTTATAGTTGATTCAGTAACAGAGATTAGGAGTGTTGAAGAAGAAAGAAGGAAAATGAGTGAGTAAAAAATAGAGAGGAAAAATGGGTGTTTTGAATAATAAAGGAAATAAAGAATTGAATAGTTGTTTGAAACAAACCTGTGACTAAAGTTTTTAAAATGATTCATGTAACCACGAACAAGAAGCTACTAGTATGAGTTTAATTATTATGCCTACAAATTTTTACAGAATGAATTGATTTTGATTTGAAAGAATATTGTAATCACATTTGTTGGTTATCGAGGCATTAAATAGAATTGTACTAGTTTTGAGTTTGAGTTTGACAAATACCTAATGTGTTGTTTAGTTGGAGTATTAAAAAATTGAAATAAAGGTAGAATTTGATAAGTATAATAAGTATATCGGATAAGTATAATTCAAGTGCGTTGTATTTCTCATTTTTATAGATGCCAAAATTGCCTTAACAACCATAGTTTATGCCTTTTGTAAAAATAAAAATAAAAACCATAAAAGAAATATAAAAACGCTTTGCCGCCGAAATTTCAAACGCTATCTTTTTCAAAATCTCAGACCAAAAGGGTTTCGCAAACACGAAAGATCCACTTTCCATTTCAGAAGCATAGAGATGAACTCGAACTCCAAGAGCGCTGCTTCATCATTGGAGGCCTTGATGACTTCCTTCAATGGTCGCATATTAGAGCTCCAAGAGCTAGTAATTGCTAGAAACAGTGAGTTTTTCAATCATCCATTCACTTTTTGATTTCTTCTCTATATTCTATATATCGAATTTAATATATATGAATCTGTATCTGTGTTTTGCAGTGTACCCAGCGAGCAGTATTCCGGATCTTTCTGCTATTGATGCTGCTGTGAGTGCTTTGGAGCTTCAGGTGCAAACCATTAAGGACAATTTTCGCAACGAGATGGAAGCTATTCCTAAAGCAAAGGTATTCTCCCTGATTTTGCTGGTTTAGATTTGGTGAATCACTTGTTTGTGGAATTTGGTTGATGAAATTAACGAAACCCTAAAATCATTCATGGAATTGTGATAATCTGTTAATTAGGTCATTCATTCATGATAAATTAGAAGATAATTGATGGCTTTTTTTGTTAATTTGTTTTGGGGAGAGGTAATTCGGTAGTAGCATTTCATCATTGTAAAGTGGGAGACTTTTAATTGATGATGGATGACTGTTAAATCTAGTATTTTGACGACGTTGCAGAAATTTATCGATGCGTGCATGCAACAGCAAAAGAAACTGCAGAATATGGCTCTTTACGTTCCTTCCCAAAAGGCCGATAGAATGACACTGTCGAATTCAGAAACTAGTAGAGCGTAACTACATTTGCTTTAGTCCTGTTTTGTGCTTGGTTTGTAGTGAGTGTTGACTGATATCATATTGCTTTATTGTTGTTGTTATTCAGTTTGTTTCCTGAATTTTCTGGACTAGACACTGGATCATTTGAGGCTTTAAAACTTGATGTGGAGCCTGCCGCATTGCCTAAGGTAATCTAAATAGGTTTTCAATTGCTGTTTTGTTCCTATAGTTGCAATACTCAAAGCCTGGGGACTAGGGCTGGCAATGAACCAAACCAACTCGAAGATAGTTCGGAATTCGACTCGACAATTAAATCGTTGAACTAGGTTCATGAACCAAATGAGTTGAGTATGAGCGAAAAATTAAGTTCGTTAACTAAATGAGCTGAACTTGAACTATACATAGTTCGACTCGTTAGGTTCATGAGTCAACTCGATTACATATGAAAAGAATTATACTGTCTTTAAGATTAGGTTTAAATATTTACTTCAAATCTTAGACAAATTTAATCTTCAATTTAGTAGTTTTTGAATTAGACTCTCAAATGTATCTCTTGAAAGTTGTGTAGGTTTTGAATTAGTAGATTTTGAAGATAAAGTTAAATTTCAATATGATCATTTTTATTTTATTTTAATATTTTATTTAAAAAATATATATTTATTTAAAATGTCAAATATACTAAAAAATATATATATTTAAAAAAACAGTTTTTAAGTTCGTGAACCATGTGAGCTGAACCTAATGAGATGAACCTAACGAGTCGAACCGAACTGCTCGTGAACTTATAACGAGTCGAGTTTGAGCTTAAAAAAAAGTTCGTGTCAAACTCGAACTCGAACTCGAATTCGAACAATTCTTAACGAGTCGAGCCGAGCTGAGGTGAGTTCGACTCGACTCGACTCATTTCCAGCCCTACTGGGGACCTAATGAAACACTGAAATTGATACGAAATTGACTCACAAACACTAGTAATAAACTTGGCAGTGATGCTTTTTACACATGATCGCTGTAAATTTTCTTGAATTATGTTGATACTTATTGCATTAGATAATTGGAATAGGCTACCCTATACTCTCTCTTGATGTTATCTCCCCAATCTTTCCCAAGTGGTGATAGTTTAGAGTTATTCTATTTTCTTGCATGTTTCTATCATTTGTTTCCTCTTCAATCTGTAACCCTCTTGAGAATTTTTTACCCTGGTCTCAATAAAACGTAGCTATTTTCTTAACTTCAGTAGATGCATTGTCAAAATATGATCCCAAAATGTTCTCCTGCTTTCATTTTTAGGAGAAAAAAGGCCGTGGTCCCCCACCAACATGGTATGTCACTGGAAGTGAGCTAGATTCCCTGTCATCGTAAGTAACTATGAATCATTTTTTATTTTCTCTGTTAAATTTTACTGAGTTCAGCTAGGTCATATTCAAATGGGTCATAAAACACACATATTGTCGTCAAAACACTCACAGATTCAGGTTGCTTCAAAATTGTGTTTTCATTGTATTGTCCCCGTAGCTCTGGTTCCTTTAATTTTTCTAGATTAAAACATGTTTGGGTTTGCAAGCAAGTGTATCATTTGAAATGTTTCAAGAAATGTTGATTTTACCATCAAGACATTGGTTATGAAATTCATCTCTACCCGAGAGTTAATGACAAGATAGTTAAAACTTCCGACTCTATTACATATTTCACTGCATAACAGTAGGTTTGATATAACAGATATATGAGGGGTAGGCTTACTTTAGAGAAGGTGAATGCAGCAATCACAGATATGGCGTCTTATGCAGAAGCTAATACTCAGCTTATCGCAGCTCCCAAAAAGAAGGTAACTGAATAATTTTCTTCTTAAATTATACATTACATTTGTAAGAGTTTCCTTTTTTCTTGACAATTATTTTTGCTTGTTCATGAAGTTGGCAGAAAATCTTTGGGAAAAAGCTCTGGTGAGTAAAATCTCCATTTTCACTTAAACAACTAAGTTCTAAAAAAAAGGGTGGCTAATAACACCTAATATATCCCTTGGTATATGCCCAAAAGAAAAGATTGTCACTTGATTTCATAATGTAGGAAATAAGAGATATTGCAACAATGGAAGGGATTAAAGGAAAACACTTTTTTCTTGAAGCTGATATAAAAGGTCCAGCACTTAAACTTGACCACACTGGAAAGGCAATATTGACAGTAAGTATTCTTGTTTTTCAAACTTCCTGACCACATATATATCTGCTTAGAAACTTCCTGACCTCTTAGAAATGTTCTAATGGTTACTGAGATGACCAAAGATCTAGAGTTGGCACTTGAATAAGATGCATTTGTAATCAATGCCTGCTGTTTTGGTTATTTTTACTAGTTAGTTTTTGCAATAAATAAGTTGTATGGCTTTAATACTATTAAAAAAGCAACATGTTTCATTTAAATAAAGCATGGATAATGATTTGGATCTATCTTGTTAGAAAAAACACAAGTACTTCATTGGTTAGTGATATGACTTAAATTAGAGCTTATAAAGTTTGTTAAAAACACAAGTACTTCATTGGTTAGTGATATGACTTAAACTAGATCTGTTTTTAGGCCATCCAAACACTTATCCTATCCATGAGTCAGGCTCGATAGCGCTGAGCATGAGGGACCTGTATTGAGAAAACTCAAACCTCATATTGGTCAATTATCATCGTAAAAGTGGCTTTTAGAGTTGAATTAGGCCCAATAAGACTTGGGACTATCCTTCAGCTATGATTACGAATATTAGTTATTATCCCTAGATATTAGTCGTTGGTCAATCTCTTTCTTATATATTTGATTTAAAATTTCAATTCTCATACTGGTTGAATTTATGAGTTTTTCCTTGTGATTTTGTTGTCAAGGGTTTGTAGACAAATCAAGTTCTTTTCCGTTTTGCAGGTTCTTCGACACCTTGGCCGTTTTAATGAGACTCGCGTTGGACATCATCGTGTTTTCGTTCTACATAAGCCTCATTAGAAAAAAGTTAACATTGACCTTTTGCTACAGATAAATTGTTGAGACTGTTATCTAATACAACACAAACGGTTGACCATTAATTTGTAAATTCAAGTGTTTTTTTTGTGTGTAGAAGTTTGCTCTCACTTAGATTGATATATCCTCCATATGGGAAAGGGCGTGTATCCATTTGCATGCATATGAATGAAAAGAAGAAATTTAAGAGTAGATTATATGTTCTAATAATTTAGATGATAAACTCATTGCAACTTTATTGTTTGATTTTTGGAAGGTAGGTTTTCAATATATGATTTTTCGGTTTTAACAGGTGGGTCGTAAAAAAATCTAGATTGAGAGCAAATGTGTTTGCATCGTAGTTGTGATTTTAGTTTTTTTTTTCATTTTCATTTTAAAGGTTTTTCACATTTAAATGTTCTTTGTGCATTTTATTTGTCATATATGCCGCTATATATTTGAATTGATTGGCTTTGGTTGGAATCCTTTAGTTGTTTCTGATCTGATTGATTTATATTATTAACTCATTCTAATGCTCCTCAGTTGCATTTTGATAGAATAATAAGTAAAGTCTTGTTTCCTCTGAGCTTGATTGACAACCTTATGCCCTGAGTCTTGTGACCTTTAATATTATGGAGTAAACTGCTTTGTCATTTGTCTTTCTGTTGAACTTGAGTAGGTTTTAGATCCTGCTTTTGCTGGAGAGGATTGGTTATGTTGCTTTTCTTTATTACCCGGTTTTGCAGTAAATACACATGCTCATTCAAATTAGCCCTCCGGTTTTGATGTACCTTATTTCCCCCTAAATCTTGAGATTATCCTTGACTCGATTCCTGTTACCCTTGAAATTGGCTATCCGTGTTTGGCAATATGTCAATCTGTATTTTCTGAGAAGCTTTCTTAGATTGGATTAGATTTGCCTTAGATGGATTATAGTCAGATACATCCATTTCCTGAGCCTGAGTGGCCTCATGTTGAATCTGCTGCCTTTGGATTTGATTCCCCATTATTGAGATTGTGTCCATGAACTAGAGAGTTGTCAATTACATTTTTTAAACTTTCCTTTGCTGGCTGATTGACAGATGCATTGATTTCCTGGTTTTGAATAACAATCATATAAAGTAAATGTTGTTGCTTTGCATTTGAATACTATTCTTTGGAATTATTTCTTGAGGTCGAACCTGATTAATTTCTTGATATTGGTTGATCTTATTTTGTTTTATGGCCTTGTTCTTATCTTGAGTATGTTCCATATGTTGATTGTCCTGATTTGGAGACTTGTATTTAAGGTGTTCCTGAGTATTTTCTTGAACTTGTGAGGTAATATTTTGGCTTGTGCAATTCTACTTAATATGATTGAGAATTTGTTGAAATGATTCAATGTGTTGTTAATCCTGTGTGATGTTCTTTGGTATTGCTTCATGTGTCATAAGTGTTTATATGATGACCATTGTGCTACAATTGTTTGTGTGTCTAGTGATTTTTTTTAAACAACACTTTTTTTGGTCAAAGCACAAACCATCAGCTTGAGACATGCAGCTAATAAAGACAAGTTACAAAACTACAAAACACCAGTCCACCAACAGAAAAAAGAAAAGAAACCATACAATACCCAACAAACATAAATAGAGTAATAGACCAAAACTGAACCTCCCACAATCACCCCAACTACCAAAAGCCACCCAGCTAATAGCAAAAGAGCAGCAACATTCACTGCTAATAGGAAAACTGTAACTTACACCAACACCCCAAACCTACAATACTGATTGAGCAAAAACCCTGATCTGCAATTAACCAATTATTCTTGATAAGCTCCGAACAACAACAAAAATGCCTCCGAAACAGATTTTAACAGAAACACCAAACCTAAACAATAGCTCCTTGAAGCTGCAACTGCTGAACAACAAACTCAAACAAAAAACTAAGCAAATTGACCCAAAGTGATGCCATCCCATAATGGGATACTCACGATCGAGAAAGGCAACAACAACAGATAAACCTTGAAAGACACTACCTCTCTTGACCGCTAAAAACTCCAACAGCAGATTTTAATTTTGCGAACCGCTCTACATGATCACAGCCACCAAATAAAACAGAAACTGCAAATTGCACCAAAATCTCAATACTTCCGCTTCCTGATCATCCAAGAGGATAACAACCAGCTTGCTCCGACGAAAGATAACCTCTTCCTGCTGATTTAACTCCCTTCGTCTATGATGCCGATACAAGCTTTGGGATTCACGCACCATAAGGCTAAATCTTAGCTAATAATATTTGACTTTACTGATTTCCAAGTTGTGATTAATTGATTTTTATGTTATTTTCTCAGTGATAACCTCCACATTTCTGAATATAGTCGTTTTTGTTCTTCCATATATTCCACACACAAGTCAACCAGATAACGATCATTTTCAAAGACCGATATCTAGACAACGATCATTTTCAAAGACCGATGTCTTCCTCCAGATACCAAAATTTTAAACTGATCCATATGCTTTTAGCCTCATTGTGAAGGGCTCCTTTCACTCCAAGCCATTTGCAGATGAGATTCCAAGTACCTGCATATTTTGGACACTCGAAAAAAATGTGACTAACTGACTCCTCACAACCACACTCACCCCTACAGCTGACTTTCCCCTGAGACAACACATCCCTCTTAACTAGATTATCTTCACAACCACACTCACCCTTACACCTGACTTTCCCCTGAGACAACGCATCCCTCTTAACTAGATTATCTTTTGTAGGAACTTTGTTTTGGAGCATTTTCCAAATCAAGCACAATACCTTTGTCTAGATTGTCTTGTTCCAAATACTTGTACATGATTGATTATATTCATGATGAATATTTGACGCTAGACTTTTGTATACTTCTTTCACCGAATACTCGTTTGATGAAACAAACCTAACTATATTTAATTCATTTATTTTCTTTCACCACTTTGATCCTGTTGGTGCAAAGATAGAAATAAATGATGAAATAGGAAATATTACTAATAAGAGAATGACGGCTACAAAACATGATATTTTGTTACAATGATTGTCACCCTATTTATAAGCTAAAACTAGGGTTACTAGAATAAGATAAATACTAAAATACCCTCTAACAAACTTAGGGGCCAAGAAAATAGTACAACTAAATAAATATGAATTATTAATAATATTCTAATACCATCCCTTAATTCATATTCCATCAAAACTTGTGACACCAATTCCATCCCTTAATCTGAGAAATTGATCAGTTTTGATAGCTTTCGTCAGAACATCTGCCAACTGCTTCTGAGTGCTGCAGTGTACAACTTCTAACACTCCACTCTGAACTTGATGTCTCAGAAAATGATACTTGGTCTCAATATGCTTGCTTCTCCCATGCAACACTGGGTTTCTAGCAAGATTGATTGCAGACTTATTGTCAATCATCAACTTCAGAGGTTTGTCTACTTTAATCTTCAGATCCTGCAACAGATTCAGAATCCACACAGCTTGGCATGCAGTAACAGCACCTGCAATGTATTCAGCTTCACAGGTTGACAACGCCACAACAGGTTGCTTCTTGGAACACCAAGAAATGGGACCTCCCAGAAATTTGAACAAGTACCCAGATGTACTTCTTCTGTCAACTCTGTCTCCACACCAATCAGAGTCTGAATAACTCAGAAGTTCTGACTCATTATTTCCTCCAGAGGGAAATAACACTCCATACTTCAGAGTTCCTTTGATATACCTCAGAATCCTGACAGCAGCTTGGTAATGGGACCACTTAGGTTTACTCATGAACCTACTAACCATCCCAACTGAGTAGCAAATATCAGGTCTGGTATTGCACAGATACCTCAGAGAACCAACCAACTGTTTGAAGGTTGTAGCATCCACATCCTTTCCTTCAGAGTCTGAATCCAGTTTCTGATTTGTATCAGAAGGTGTGACAGCCATCTTACAATTCTTCAGATCAAATCTCTTCAGAAGTTCTAATTCATACTTGAGCTGATGCAAAATGATACCTTTCTCAGAATATCTGAACTCCATCCCTAGAAAGTATGTCATTTTGCCTAGATCAGTCATTTCAAATTCATTCATTAGAACCTTCTTGAACTTGGCTATCTCCTGTTCAGAACTTCCAGTCAGCAGTATATCATCAACATATAAACATACCGGAGTCATATTGCCTTCAGAAGTATGCTGAACATAGACACCGTACTCCATCTCACATTTCTGAAAGCCTTGCTTCTTGAAAAATGAATCAATCTTCTGATTCCAAGCTCTGGGCGCTTGTTTCAATCCATATAGAGCTTTGTATAATCTGTACACCATCCCTTCCTGATTCTTTTTCACAAATCCAGGAGGTTGTGACACGTAAACTTCTTCTTCTAATGGACCATTCAGAAATGCAGATTTTACATCTAAATGCATCAGAGGCCAATTCCTGTTAGCAGCTATTGCAATCACCATTCTGATTGTTTCATGTCTTGCTACAGGTGCAAACACTTCAGAATAATCCAGCCCAGGTTTCTGTAGAAATCCTCTGGCTACCAACCTTGCTTTATGTTTGCCAATTGAGCCATCTGGCTTTAACTTCTGCTTGAAAACCCATCTGACGCTGATGGCTTTCTTGTCTTTTGGAAGTTCTGTCAGCTTCCAAGTCTTGTTTCTCTCTATAGCATCAAGTTCTTCTTTCATGGCCTTCAGCCAGAGCTTCTGCTTAAGAGCCTCCTCTGTACTTATAGGTTCAGAGTCTACTAACATGGCACACTGAATAACTTCTCCTTCAGAGTCTACTTCAGTGTCTTGCAGCATGTCAAATTCTGCAAATCTTCTGGGAACGCTTCTGATTCTTTGTGGTCTCTGAACTTGTTCAGAGTCTTGAGCTTCAGAGTTTCTAGCTTCAGATGATTGACCTCCAGAGCTTTGACCATCTTCAGAGTCTGGCATATTTCCAGAGTCTGAATTGCCACCAAGATCAGAGTCTGAATCATCAGAGTCTGGGTCATCAGAGTCACCTTCATCTT